ATTGCGATGTATTTAGCTCTGCTTGTGCCTCTTTGGATGAATACACTGATATTGTTACATCCAACTGTATGTAAGTTTCTGCAAAGAGGTATGCATTCCTACAAAAACTTTCAAGGCATACAGTAACAAGAAACTGTGGTGCTCAAAAGAACTGCAAGACCTATGACGTAAGAAGAACAAAGCTTTTATTAAGCAAGACAGGCCTGAATATATCTGTCAAATATGAACTGTGCTCTGCAGTGAGGAAGGCTAAGAGCAACTACAGTAAAAAACAAGAGGAACAATTTGCTGACAACAACTCAAGAACAGTTTGGTGAAAAATTCAGGAAATGACCAACTACAAGGAATAAAACTCCATCACCTTACTGGATGATGACCAGTCTCCCAGTTAAGTCAAACAGTTTTATGCTCACTTTGAAAAACATGATGTGAAGGCCCCTTCATTACCTTCATTTTCGTCTACCACTTTGCCTTCTCCTTCCTCCACTTACCGACGAAGTAAGAGCAATCTTCAAAAAACAAAATAAAAGGAAAGCCATAGGTCCTGACAATTTGTCAGCTGCAGCCCTCAGCTATTGTGCTGATCAACTTGCTCGTGTGTTTACCAATATAATACTTCACTTCTTCAGCAGAAAGTCCCTCGCAGGTTTAAAATATCCACTATAATACCTGTTCCTAAATCTTCAAAAATATCTCGCTTCAACAACTACAGACCAGCCTTTGAGTGTCTAGTGTTGAATCACCTCAAGCACTGTACATTTCCTCTGCTGGATCCTCACCAGTTTACCTACAGGGCCAACAGGTCTGTTGAAGACACCATTAACCTGGCTCTCAGCTCAGCATTCAATACCATTCATCTACATAAATTATTCAGTAAACTGATGGGTTTGAACATCAACCCTGCTACAGTATGTGTCGTTGGATTCCAGACTTTTTAACACAACAGACTGTCAGGGTGAATAACAGGACATCTTGCTCTCTGATTCTCAGCACAGATGTTCCCCAAGGCTGTGTCCTATCTCCATGGCTCTTTTCCCTTTTCACAAACAACCTCACATCTTAGGATGACTCTGTCAAGATTTTCAAATATACAGATGACACTACCATTGTTGGCCTTATCTCGAATAATGATGAGACTTGTTACCGAAAGCAGATTGACTGGGGAACAGTCTAGTGTCACTGTACCGACAAGAGGAGGAAATATTTTGGACCACTGCTACACAACAATAAAAGGAGCATACAAAGCGCTTCCCAAACCGAGTTTCAGTAAGTCGGACCACATTGCTCTCCTGTTGCTTCGTGGGTACAAACAGAAGCTGAAGACCTCCCCCATTGCGAACAGGTCAGTGCGTTGTTGGTCTGAGGAGGCGGAAAGCAGGTTAATAGACTGCTTTGATAGTACAGACTGGGACGCATTCAGAGCTCCAGACACAGATTTAAATGAGTATACGGACATGGTCACCAGCTATATTAAATACTGCACTGACAATTGTGTACCAGAAAAGAAAATTAGGTCATTTCCCAATCAGAAACCGTGGTTCAACAACAACATTCGCAATAAAATAAAAGATAGATACACCGCGTTCAAATCGGGGGACAATGAGCTGTACAGGAAATCACGGTGTGCATTAGAGGAAGCCATAAAACGCGCTAAACAGAGATACAGAGTGCGGCTTGAAACGCAGTGCGTTGACACCCGGAGGCTGTGGCAGGGATTACAGTCAATCACAGGCTATAAGGGCTGCAGCCAGGAGATTGACACAAACAACACATCCCTGCCGGACGAGCTGAACCATTTCTATGCTTGCTTTGATGCTCTGAACACGGGCACTGCTGAGAAGACCCCAAGTGTGCAGGGTGAGTTTGTTCTGAAACTCTCAGAGCAGGATGTACAGAAGACTCTGAGCAGGGTGAAAATCTATAAGGCTGCAGGGCCTGATGGAATACCACCTCGCGTCCTGAGGACATGTGCAGCCCAGCTGACCACATCTTTAACTCCTCCCTGTCACAGTCCATGGTCCCCACATGCTTTAAAAAAAAACATTATTGTTCCACTCCCCAAAAAAGCAAAAGTGACGTGCCTGAAAGATTACCTCCCAGTAGCATTAACATCTGTGGTGATGAAATGCCTGGAGAAGCTGGTGTTGTCACACATCAACTCCTCCATCACAGAGTCCCTGGACCCCTTGCAGTTTGCCTACCAGAACAACAGATCAGTTGATGATGCTGTCTCCCTGGCTCTACATACAGCCTTGGAACACCTGGACACTAAGAACTCGTATGTGAGAATGT